GAATGGATGGAGTCTCCTCTGGACGTTATCATGGTGGGGACATGGATGCTCTGCGGGAATGGATAGAGCTTGTGGGAACGTCATCATGGTTGCCACATGGATGCTCTGCGGGAATGGATGGAGTTTGTGGAACGTTATCATGGTTGCCACATGGATGCTCTGCAGAAAATCTTGCATGGTAGCAGGGGCCCTACGTAGCGATAGGCCCGAGGCCTTTGAGTGCCAATTTGTTTCACCGCATAACAGCCTTCTTGCTTTCCTCAGCTGCAGTTCGATCTGCCTGTGGAGCCCGGACTCCGTCCGGAGGCTGCACTTAGTTGTGCCCTCCAGCAATCCTTTTTCGTAAGTCCCCCTGGCGTTGGGGCAGAACCGGAAAGTCTTTTTGGTGGCGGTCTGGGTGCAGAGCAGGGATCTACATTCAGTGCTTGTGCGCCTGGAGAGCGTTATCTCATCAGTGCGTGTGCGCCTGGAGAGCGGTGTTGTGTCAGTGCGTGTGCGCCTGGAGAGCGTATTTCATTCAGTGCTTGTGGTGGTACAAGGCAGAGCAAAGGTGGTTGGGAAGACGGGTTTTCACTGGTCTTCTTTGTGGGCGAGATGGACAATGGACCCCAGCCGGCAGCCCAAGCTGGCATGGCCCAAGGGGCAGCAGCGCAGCTCAGCGCTGATGATGTGGACAGGTTGGTCAAGCAAAGGCTGGAGCAGGCTTTTCATGGTGTGTTCCGGAAGCTGGTGGATACAACGGAGCGGGCAGCCCAGGCTGCCGAAGCCAGTGCGTCGACAAATCGCCTGGAGTCTTTGACTAAGAGCTTGAAAGTTGAGTTTTGGAAGCCGGCCTCAAGAGAAGAAGAGCTGAAATCCTGGAAGGAATGGGCCTTCCAGTTTACCAACTGGCTGGTGTCCAACGATCCGAGCTTCGAGGCAGACTTGGCTGGGATCGACCTCGAGAAGGAGATAGACCATGCCCTTTTGCCAAGCGAGCAGGAGGCAAGGTCGCAGCGGCTATTTGGAGTTTTGTGCAATGTGCTGAAGGGGAGGCCCCTGCTTCTTGTGAAGCAGGCGGCCGACATAAAGAATGGCCTGGAGGCCTGGCGCATTCTGCGTCGGGAGATGGAACCGCGGGAGCGAGCCCACGCGCTAGCAATGGTCAGACAGCTGGCCGCTTGGAAATTCGACAGCCAAACAAGGACTACACGAACAGCTCTGCAGATACGAGGAGGCTTTGAAAGTCTATGAAAGCAGCACGGGCAAGGCGTTCCCTGAAGAGCTTGTTCTGGCCACGGTGGTGACGGGGCTCAAGGAGCCCTTGAGGAGCCAAGTTCAGCTGCAGATGCAGCCGACCACGAAGTACTCAGATATTGGTGAGTGGGTTCTGAGGTACGAGTCGCTGAACGGGCCACGGCGGTGACCACAGTGGAGCACAGCCAATGGACGTGGACGTCACCAAGGGCAAGTGGGGAAAGCCGAAGGGAAAAGAGAGGAAGCGACCGCTTTATACAAGCATGCGCGCTGGAGTTCCACTGGTGCCTGACCATGCGACCTTGCATGAGCTTGCCCAGGCGAAGCATAGCAGCAGGAACTCCAAAGCCAGCCAATGTTGATGAAGCGGCGTCGGACCCGACATCATCTTCTCCAAGTTCACCCTCGGCGGCAGCAACACCCAGCAACCAACCGCAGCAAGAGCAGCGTGATCAACAACAACCTCCTGGTGGCGATGCCACGGTAGGTGGCAGCAGGCCGATTGATTTTAGCAACAGCCAGCAACCACAGCAAGAGCGACGTGATCAACAACAACCTGCTGGGTCCTTTGCTTATGACGACATGGCTTCAGGTGGTGCAGGGTTGTCTTCTCATGCTCCAATGGACACAGGTGGTGGGTCCCATGTCGAAAGGCCGCCTGGTGGAGAAGCAACAAACATTTCAAATTTTATGCGAACCCCCTGCGGGAGCCTAATTCAGAATGTTTCACTCCGTAACGTCAAGGCTCAAGGTAGGCTTGAACAGACCGTAGACAGCCCACCGCCGCCGCTAGTGGAAAAGTAGCAGAGTTATCCGGTGATCCAAGGAACCCTAAAGTTTGATTTAAAACTTTCATGGTAGCGGAGCTGCTGG